TTACACCACTCCACCAAGCCCTTCACCTCCTCCCTATACGCCCACTCATTGTCATCCCTGATAAGACCCACCACTGTTGTATCATTTGCATATTTCACAATGGAATTGGTGGTGAACCTGGCACAACAGTCATGGGTCATCAGGGTAAACAACAATGGGCTCAGGACACAGCCCTGTGTGGAGCCGATGCTCAGAGTGATAGAGCTAGAGATATTTCCAACTCGCACCAACTGAGACCTCTCAGTAAGGAAGTCAAGTAGCCAGTTACACAAGGGAGTACTAGGACCCAGTTAGTTTAGGTTAGTCCTAGACTTACAACCACAGTTGGGACCGGAACTTCTGATGCTAAGCAATGCAGCTGTTAAGTGAGTCATGCCTGATTTTATGACTTTTTTTGCCATGGTTGTTAAGCAAATCACGCTGTCATTAAGTGAATCCAGTTTCCCCCATTGACTTTGCTTGTCAGAAGCCCCATGGGAAGGTCACAAATAGCGATCATGTGCCCCTGGGACGCTGCAACCATTGTAAATATATGCCAGTTGCCAAGCACCTGAATTTTGATCGCGTGACCGTGCGGACACTGTGACAGTTGTATGCGCAAGGGCTGGTCGTAAGTCACTTTTTTCAGCACTTTGAATGGTCATTAAATGAATGGTCGTAAGTCAAGGTCTACCTGTATCCTGCTTTTTACGTATTGCTGCAAAAATGAAACCAAATCTGGTGTGGGTTGACTTGAAACATCCAAACAATAAATCCATATGAACTTGCAAAGATTAACAGGATGGTTGCTATTGTGGATGTTGAGAAATCTTGTTTTTTTTTAATAATAGGTGTAATTATTTAGCAAAACAACCATTTACTTTTACTGGAAATACACTTTCATTAAGATCACTTTACTTTTGATAAAAACCATCAGGGACTCTTCCTCTGCCTTTGCTTTCTCAATCTTCTTCAGGATATCCACGTCAGATGCCCCCTGATGGAAGAGAAATAATTTTTGTTTTTCAAAAAATAAGTCACTGCTGGGAGCCCAGTGCATATTATTTTTCCAGACTCTGTTTTAAAGCATTACAACATTTTTGGTACTCTTCCTGAAGACCTGAGATTGGAAGAGAGGACTCTTTGAGGTGTAAATAGCAGAAAGAAAAAGAGAAAGAATAGCATAAGTGGAGATGAAAACTAAATTGTGAATATCAGCGCTGAGTATGTGATGGAAAAAGATTAATAAATGAGCTATGAGATGAAATAAAGCTTTTTTATGTAAGAAGACAGAAGATGGCTGGGAAGGTCATAGAATGTGGAGGCATACAGCCTCAAAGGAGATGATATGACATCCCCTCCTAAAGAAACCAAAACTAGATCCCTTCCTTTCTGATAATGTTAGGCCAGTTTCAAACCTTCCATTCATGGCTAC